CCCCTATGAACTCGTCAAATTTTTCAGTCTGCCAACCCACTTAATGCATTAAGCTATTTTTCTAGAATCCAAGGACTCCAAACCTCATATCCCTTCCATAATGTTGTCTAGAAGGGTAAAGTTTCCAAATTTACCCTTAAGGACCATCCATTAAGCTTAAAACCCAAACCCTAGTTTCTTTAAAGAGGGTCTTGACCCATTAAGTCCCTAAACTCCTACTACAACATTCCAAAATACATATCTGATGTCCCAAGGTGGGCAAATCACGTAAAGTTTCCAACTTTACGTCCATGCATGCTAAAAACACCCTCTAAGGTTCATTTTGGCTTCATAATGGACATATTGCATGAATGGGACATGGAGGCCATTAAAGTTTGAAACTTTAAGCCTCAAGAGGTCATGTAGGGGTCCTATCTACCCCATCAATCCCTGGAAACCTCTTCTATTTGGACAACTCAACCAAAGTCCCAGAACTCAAGTTAAAACTTCAAGGAAAGAGAACTAATAAACTATATGCCAAGGTGGCGATTTTATACCTCAAAGATGCAGCCTTTGATGAAGAGTTTCTGGATCTAGAATCACTCCTCCAAGCTAGGTGCTTCTCTCTTCAAGAATCCTTTCAAGAACCACCAACAAACACTCTCTAAGCTCACACTACTCAATATGCAAGAAGGAAAAACGATTCTAGGGTTTTCTCTAGGCAAGGGAGGCTGGTAAGGAGGCCATCCAAAGAAGTTAAGTCCTTTATATAGGGTGCAACACCCGAAAATTAGGGTTTTCTCTTCCTGCGCCAAATCGACGAGTTGGGTCATTAAAATACGCGGATGGAGAATGTTGGATAAGGTGTCTAAGTCCATAACTATATTTGGTATATACTTGATCCGACCCGGCATGGTCCATTTGGGTTGCACTTCACCGGAACAATTTGTATGGATAATTTTTGAGAAGAGTATGTTTATGGTTAATTAATATATTATGATTTATAATATATTAATATGAAATCATATTATTTAATTAGTATTGATCAAGAATTAATTTAGAATTAATTTTAATGATCAAAAGAGACTAGTTAAATATGGATTCTAATAGTATGGGCCAATTGATTATTTAGGATGGGCTAATCTTGCATGGAAGTCCATGGATAGTCCATGGTGCTTTTGACCCATGGATCCTAAGTATGTGAAAGGTCATGGGTATTAGGGTTTACATGGATGTAAACCTAATCCTCCACACTATATAAAGAAGTCCAATGCTCTAGAAATCGGCACTAGTGTGTGAGATAAGAAAGCATAGCCTATTTCTAAGAGTGCATCATATTCTCTTTAAGTTTTCCAAGTTGTTGTGGTGATTTTTGATTCCACTTGAGTCATTCACATTATTGGTTCTAGGCTCTTAAAGCTCCAAGCAATCAACTACAAGAAAATGTATGTATTTCTATCTAGTTTTTATTGTATAAGATCCTACAACTGCATGCTAGATAGGACAATGCTTTGGAAATCAAGTTTGCATTTATAATAGAGAAAACATAGTTCCAAAGCATCTAGGGTTGTATGTGCACCTTAAGGTTGTTAGGATGCTCAAAACCCATCAGAGAAGTCTCTACACGACGAGTTGGAGCCTCCCAACTCGTCGAGTTCCATTCAGGACTTGAAAATAAATAGATTTATTTCATACTTGGATCAAGCGTTACATTTTGTAAGCATAAGTTCAACATCATATATATTGCAGTGCATGTTTTGTTCCTTAAATATAGATAAAATACATGGGGATGTCTCTCAAACGCCTTATGAACCTTTTGTGGCAATCCCAAATACTTTCTCAAGCACAAAAGCTTCTTCCTTTCTGCAGAATGTTCAACAAACAGACTAAGCAACTCGTAGAGCACACCCACAACACGTTTCTTAGCCACATCACTATCTGGGTACAAATCCGGGGAGCATTCCTCATATGGTGAAACATATGGAAGTTTCTGAAAATGGTCCAACCAATTCAAAATCTTTGTCTTCAACCTCAAACCTTTAGATGGAAACAATGGAATTGAAATACCCTCTCCATTCCTCAATGCATTCCTTTCAATTACAGACAATATCTTTTCGTCTTTTTTCGGTTTTCACAACAGATAACCCTTTCAACCCATCGCCCATTTCAACTACCTTAAAACACCCATCAATATTATTTTCTTCCAGGTTACTCAGGTACCATAGCATACCTTGAATTATCTTCAATGGCAACCTATTTTCACCACTCATACGTATAAATTTCTTCAACCTTTCTTGTAAATCGGCCTTATAATCCCTATAAACGGCTTGTTCTTCATCATTAAGCATAACAGCCTCTGGGGTTAACCTAAACCATGGCAAATTGTATTTGGGTCCGATGAACTCTTCGAAAACAGAAGGGTACAATCTAAGAAACCTAGCAACCTTAATGGGTACATCTAATTGTAAGCCTTTCTTTGAAACATCGGAGGTAGGTATGCATCCTTCTGGAGAGGCAGTGATGCAGTTCTTAAGAGCAAGTATTGGTTTGAGTTCGATGGATTTGTGGATTGTATCAATTGAGTCCAAGTATGAATCTTTTTCCATTTCATGTATACATTGGTGTAGTTGTGCTTTTGGATGTGTAGACAATTTAGTGTGTATTGGTTTATGAGTGAAAAGAAGGGAACCTCTGAAGAGAAACGTATGAGTTTTTGGAGATTTCTACCATAAATTTGATCAAAAGCCATTTCCGATAATCATAATAGCTCTAGCTTGAACTAAATGTCGGAAACAATTACACACCAACAAAGAATAAAAAAAAGTGCATAGAAGATATTAAAATATAACCTCGTTATTGAAGGAAGTTTATATAGATTCATCTTCTCTGAATCTCTTCTAGTTTTAATAATCAATTAACATAAGATTATGTTTCACAAACTAGCTGAAAATCTAGTTCATACTTTATAAGATTGCATATCAATAAGTTAGTTTATTAATAAGTCAACTTATAAACTACTATAATAAGTTCTTTTTATGATTTTATCAAATGTTAAATTACAATAAACTAGCTTATTTTTGTCAAATATGCCTTAACAGTAGACTTTTAATATCTTTCAAGATCATAGGTGTTACAATGATTATTTCTATTGTTTTTTATAATATGTAAAATACACACATATATATATATATATATATATATATATATATATATAATGTAAACCTCCCATTTCATAAAATTACCAAGTATAATAGGTTATGATATTATTATTTTGGTCAATTGGAATATTCATGTTTAAAAAATGAGAGATAAAGATTCCTACTTTTGAGGGAACGTGAATTCATTTGCAAAGACAATGGCAATTTGGAGTATTGGGTATGGGCAACGGTGTTATGAAGCCAACTATTGCCACCTAACATTTCAACATGTTCTAACATGAAGAGGGGGTGGTGTGCATATGTTATAACATGTTAAGAAGTAGAGAGGGAAGAAGAAAGAAAGAATTTGATTGGTTGATGAAAGCAAAAGCCAATCACATTTCTCGTTTTTGCTTGTCGTCGTTACCAACGAGTTGTGCCTTAACAACCCCTTAACTAGAAAAGGGGGGGGGGTGTTCATCTTGTTATGACTGGGTTATGAGGTGCCACTTCAGTAATAGCATCACTTCTCGTTGCCGATACCGTGCGGAAAAAGAAATATAGCAAAAACATTGAATGCATAACACATCTATTTCTTAATTTAATCCACTATGACATATTTTCGTGAAAAAAATAGTAATAATTAATGACATAGGCAAGCCAGCCAGTTGGTTAAAGCTACTATCACATAGGTTTCTTATATAGGTTATTGCAAATTCCTTATGCAGGGACAATTGTTTATAAGTTCTTTAGCTGAGGTTGGATCGATTTAAGTAGGTAACACAACTTTTTGGTCCGACTATTGTTTTCTAATTTTTTTTTACTTCCATACATTTTTAAATAAGTTCTTTTGTAATTGTTGGAAATATGGATTGTAATGTATTCTTGGTGCTTTTTTGTTTTCAAATCGTGTTAACCTCTTCACTTTGTGATTTAAGTAATGTATGCATTTTATGTGTATGACGCAACAAATAATTGCGTACTCTTTATGTGGATTGATCCTGCATTAGAAATTGATAATGATAGAAATGTTGTTTATTATTAAAGGTGTTGAAGGATAACAAATTGAAAGAGATTAAAGAGGACTTGAACGAATTGAAGGATAAGGAGATAAAGAAATTAGTGAAAAGAAGTCATGTTCTTAGGTTTATTTTAACAATGGTGGTCACGTTGTAATGTTCGTCGTGTTTTGTCTTGATTGAAAGTTGTAACTAGTAATTGTTTGTAATGAGAAGTAGACCGTTTAAGTATAAATTGTAATGTGCATTGTTTGTAATGTACAAGAATGGTGTTTTGCTTTTAACATGATGTACTAAATAGAAATGTACTTTAGTTTTTTGTTTTTCAGACCTCAAAAGTAAATAGCATAATAGCATTGTACTTCATCATTTTAGTTTATTTTTTCTTTTTGAGATCTGCACTAAATAACATTGTACTTTATTATTATTAATTTTTTTTTTCATTTTTGTTGCAGATCTAAAGTCATTTTTAGCCCACAAAAGTGAGTGGGTGAGTCAGTGAATATGCTAAACATGACAACTGACAAGAATACATACATACATATTACATACACATTCAAATGAAAATCACATTCTTATCAAAGCTCAACAACTTACAATCTGAATAACAAAACAACCATCATAAAGTTAATTACTCTAAAAAACAAAATTTAAGAATTTTCATTTATCATAAACTTGTTTATTTCTCTATAGAACTAAATAATGTGAGTGAAAAGTGGGATAAAAGAGCAGCCAACCTATTAAGATTTAAAAACAAACATAACCTATCATAATCAATCCTTATCAGCTCATCTAATAGCCTAGAAACAAGTGACACTGCATCTTTCTACCCTCGACTTATAACAAAACTAACTTATCCTGATTCCTAACCTTGCATCATGAGTTCATCTTCGCCCTTCAAATTTCTATTCCATTGTCTTTTGTTTTTCAAAATACCTTTCGATTCCTTCACCAAATCAATGTACTTTGCTCTTACTTTGGCAAAAGGATGGACCTCTATGGTTGTTTTATCATAATATGCTTCCTTTAATATTGCAGTGCATGTTTTGTTCCTTAAAGAAAGATAAAACACATGGGGATGTCTCTCAAACGCCTTATGAACCTTTTGTGGCAATCCCAAATACTTTCTCAAGCACAAAAGCTTCTTCCTTTCTGCAGAATGTTCAACAAACAGACTAAGCAACTCGTGGAGCACACCCACAACACGTTTCTCAGCCACATCACTATCCGGGTACAAATCCGGGGGGCATTCCTCATATGGTGAAACATATGGGAGTTTCTGAAAATGGTCCAACCAATCCAAAATCTTTGTCTTCAACCTCAAACCTTTAGATGGAAACAATGGAATTGAAATACCCTCTCCATTCCTCAATGCATTCCTTTCAAGTACAGACAATATATTTTCGTCTTTTTCGGTTTTCACAACAAATAACCCTTTCAACCCATCGCCCATTTCAACTACCTTAAAACACCCATCAATATTATTTTCTTCCAGGTTACTCAGGTAATTATCTGGTAACCCCAAGTACCATAGCATACCTTGAATTATCTTCAATGGAAACCTATTTTCAACACTCATATGTATAAATTTCTTCAACCTTTCTTGTAAATCGGCCTTATAATCCCTATAAACGGCTTGTTCTTCATCATTAAGCATAACAGCCTATGGGGTTAACCTAAACCATGGCAAATTGTATTTGGGTCCGATGAACTCTTCGAAAACAGAAGGGTACAATCTAAGAAACCTAGCAACCTTAATGGCTACATCTAATTGTAAGCCTTTCTTTGAAACATCGGAGATGGGTATGCATCCTTTTAGAGAGGCGGTGATGCACTTCTTAAGATTAAATATTGGTTTGAGTTCGATGGATTTGTGGATGGTGTCAATTGAGTCCAAGTATGAATCTTTTTTCCATTTCATGTATACATTGGTGTAGTTATGCTTTTGGATGTGTAGAAAATTTAGTGTGTATTGGTTTATGAGTGAAAAGAAGGGAACCTTTGAAGAGAAACGTACGAGTTTTTGGAGATTTCTACCACAAATTTGATCAAAAGCCATTTCCGATAATCATAGCAGCTCTAGCTTGAATTAAACGCCGGAAACAATTACACACCAACAAAGAATAAAAAAAAAGTGTGTACTGGGTTAGAAGTTCTGACCGGGTTAACTTCTGACTGAAACTTGTTGTTTGATTGTACATCTGATTAACTGTGAAAAATGACTATTTTGCCCTTGTAACATGACTATTTTGCCTTTGTAACATCTGAAACACACCACATATTGGAATTAACATCAAACTCAATAACCAATATTAATAGCAACGTATTTTCATTTATTTGAGAACTCTAACAATAAATACAAAATTAAACATAAAAGTGGAATCAAAACATCAAAATTCACCTTATCATATATACCAAACTAGAGATCAAGGTGGACATATTGATTGATCAAATGATATGTTTTTGAAACAAACAAGTCATGCATTTTCTAAGCTGGTGCTTGCTACATGGAACCGAAAGAAACATAACATAATCATCTAACAGGACAAGAACAAAGTGGGACAAGCTTCTTTTTTACTAAAATAACCATGTAGCCTCATCTCAAATCAATGCTTTCATCTTTTCTACTTCTTCTTTATTATAACAGAAGTGGAGGATAAACATGGAAAAGATAAAACAAAAGAGCTCCACATATTAAACACCCCATCAATTTATGTATGGATATATGAACAAGTTGACAATGTTGACGGTGGATGAAGATACATAATATCAAACAAAAGAGTGCAATTGAGACCCAAAGCCTGCTCATAACTCAAAACAAAAATCATAAATACAAATTTCAGCAAAGTGAAGGCAATAAATTCAACAAAGTGTAACAAGGGATTCGATAACAAAACTAGAGAGAAGAGTGCGATTTAGACCTAAAACATGCTCACAACTCAGAACAAAATTGGAATCCGAATCAATTGTGTCTCTGTCGGCAATGGCAAAGGCCAAGAAGGGTATAATAATCATACCTAATCGATGGAGAAGAAGCAAAATTTGAGGTGTGATCGTTGATGGAGAAGAAGAAATAGTCCGTGTAAATGAGGGCAATTGAGGAACGTGAAAGAATTTACCGGGTCCGCACCTTTTATTCTGAGGACCGAATCAGGAGAAAACCTCCGGCTGAATCCAATTCTTCAGATCGAGTCAGAAGAAATGCACCAAAACAAACACACAGACTGAAGGTTGTGGACCGAGTCCAAGCTTCTGACCCAATTAGAAGGCTTATCAAACAGATATGGTTCTTGGGTCGATTTCAGTTTTCGCCATAGTGTACGGTCTCAAATATACTGTTATAGGGAACACAATTTTGATAATTCTTTTTACCAAATAGAAATTGAAATATCCAAAATTAGTAGGCACTAATCCTGGAAACTATTATTCTCAAACAAAATTGGATATTGGAAGTAAAATTGTAACTGGGTAGGCATTATGCAGTAGGTGGCTGTGGTGAATACAGGAGCTGCAACGAGAAGCAGAGAAGGGAGGCAAAACTCAAAAGGCGGTAGATGGAGGGTGGCGTGCTAGGCTGTTCTTTGGCTGAGACGCAGAAAAGCTACGACGAGACGGTGACAATAGACAGAGCTGCGATTGTGCTTGGTTGATGCGTGGAGAAGCGACGATGAAAGCAAATCAAGCAATATAGATGACATTTTTTCATTTCTTGTTTTATGTAAGAATATAAAATTATTTCAAAATTCAGACTATATTAAAAAAAAGAACGGAAGGAAAACAGGTTTCATTTAAAACTTGGAAGTTTGTAAATTTAGGGATGTCTGGACCCGATTCGAATTGGCCTTCAACAAGATAATCTGAAAATCGAAATTGGCATTTTATTGGAATTGAGACTAAACTTAAGTCCCGTTTGATAGTTGCTGGCTAAAAAAGTATTGAGTGGGAAATATGGTAAGAAATCCTGACTGAGTAAGAATCCATGTTGTTTGATTGTACATCTGAATGTGCTCACTAATGAAAAATGACCATTTTACCCTTCACAAGCAATTCAAAAAGGAAACCCATTCTCTCAAAGTATAAATAAATATAGAATTTTGGGAAGATAGAAGCTAAAAACCTTATTTCAATATCTTTTACAGACACTTTTAAAAAATTAAATGAAATCCTCAACTACCTAAAGACATTATGATCATCAACATTCAAATAGAAAACACAAGTAATGAACATAGTGACTTTTTCTCATCAGGTATAAAAATCCCCACCCTGAGATATCAAACCCTTACCTAGTGAAACACAAATAAATATATTACTCGAAGGTTACATGAGCCAATAATAGCATTTTACTACCCAAACATGCAAATTGGTCATTAAGCCAAAATTTCAAATTTTGACCTGAAACAACAGCCTATTCAAGGCCACTTTAGCACCACTTAAACCTGTAAAAATTTTAAATTTATTCCATATTAAGGTAGCTCATACGTTTAGCTTTAAAAGTACAATTTGCACATATCCAACTGATTTTTCTACAGTTTTCTATGAATTTTACAAAATTGCATATCCGTGTAGCTAATTTTCGACCGGTCAGTAAAAAAGACGATTTTCACCTTGGTTAGGGACAATATCAGGTCTTGGGAAAAATCATGGACAAACTAGACTCAAAATTCAAACTTTCAGAGTTTACGGATCCCCAATCCGACTCCTGATGATATTTCTAGATTTTTTTCAAAACAGGGACAGATTGGTAATTTTTCATTGCATTTTAATGGTTAATTAACAACTTAACTCATTAAGCCATAACCAAAATCAACCATAAAGATGGAAATTGGTTTTTTAACAGTAGCAACATGACAAGAAGTTAAAATAACAATTTAAACCCCAAGCCATGACTCAAAGTACATTGCTTTTATGGAAAAAACAAAGTACATTGTTAAAAGATAAAACATCATTAGAGCTTGAGTTTTTCTCTCATATTAAGACCTTTGGGACTGTTTTCAAGAACTTTTGGATGTCTCAAAACATGGTCTTTATGAATCAACACATTACACATGAAATCACTAGAATTTGAGATAGAAAGAACATGAATTCTAGCAAAACATTGATTCCATAGTTTTGAGCACTTCATAGACATGGACAATAATACTCTTGAGGGTGTTCGTAAAGAGATTTTGACAGTAATTAGCCATCAAAATACACCCAATAAAACTAAAACTAGAGTTTAATCCTATGAATATTCAATGATTATAAGGAGAAAGAAGGTATGATTATTAACACCAAATAGGAAGAAATTGGCAAAGTAATCAATCAATTCATTCTTCATCAATTGAAAAGGAATTGACATGAGAGGGAAAACCTTAGACTTACAAAGAAGAAGAATCAATCATAACACTTCAATTGCACAGAAAATCCCGTCAATTGTCACAACCTCCTGCCTTGCGTTGCTGATGAGTTCTTTCCCACCCTCCTTGCGATCGTTTCTGCTGCCCGACACCCCCTACACGTTCGGTCTTCTTCTACTCCCTGATCGATGGGTAATAGCCTGAGTCGATGGTGGGCTGCCCCTTAATTCGTACGTGATAAAAACATACCTGAAGAATAATCGATCCAAAGCCTTGCAAGTTATAGCCGAATTCCACCCATAGTCCCTCAAGTTTCGGCTATAAACCACCTTCCAACCTAACCCTAGACACATTGACGAGTTAAGTTTCATTTTATGACATTTTAGACCCTCAACACCATTTACACCCATTAATGAATTATAGTAACCCTAATCCATAAATCAATTTAACTGGATTTTATCCCTCCTATTTATTGATTAGTTCATTTAGATATTAATTTAATATCTTTTTTTAATTATTCCTTTTTAATACTGTATAATCAAAATTGCTTTATTACAATTAATTTTCGAGTAACGGAAGGTTCGCTTCGTTAACAGAAGGATTTTCGGGTTGTTACAATTATCACCTCCTTAAAATGATCATGTCCTCATAATCAGTTACGGCTACGAACAATTTAGGGTAACAAGTCTTCATATTTTATTTGACCACCTAGCTCACTTCTGACCGGTACCCGCGCTTCCTTTGGACTTTAACGAGCTTTACTCGTTTCATCCCCCGATGCTTGGTTTCTCTATAAGTAAGACATCTACCAGCTCTCCCATATCGTACATAAACTAGTCGAATCACGATTTGTCTATCATCATGACACTCAACTCTTACCGACCTTGATTGTTAAAACAACTAATTCTCATCTAATTAGTACTTTTCAGTATCCCTCTTCGACGGTTTGTAGTTGAAACTCCTTGACCACCTCCACAAAAGTTAGTCACTGATTACCTTGATCTCTCCATCGCATGAGCCAAAATGTAGCGCCCGAATCGTCAGGTAAACCTCTCTTGCAACTATTTCATTTAAACCTTTGACTAGGCGAGAGTACATTGGGCGTACACAAGGTACGCACAGCGTACTCCCTTTTCATGCGTGAATCGGGATAACCCCTATGTACAATGGGCGTACGCAGGGAGTATTCAAGCAAGAGGTAAACCCTAATTTTTAGGGTTTGCACCCTATTTAAGATCATTAAATCCTTAAAGTTCATCACCTTATCAGCCTCCTTTGCCTCTTGAGTCATATCTTGAAACCCTAATCCATTTCCCCTAAAGTTTGAGCATGTGTGTGTGTTTTAGGTGTGTGGTGCTTAGAGTAGAAGAAGAAGATTTGTAAAGAAGCATTGGACCAGAAAGAGCTTGTGGATCCTGAGGTTTCTCATCATTTCTAGCTTATTGGAGGTAAAAAGCTTCTACCTTGATGACTCCTTGTGTTAGTTTGTAGTTTAGGGCTAATTTCATCATAAAATGGTCCTTGAGATATTTCTTGAGAGTATGGGCTACTCCAAAAGGTTATAATGTCAGATCCTAGTGTTTCCAACGTCCCTTGAGCATAAAAATGGAGTATTGATGGATTAAGTCCAAGCATGCAAGGATTTAAGGTGGTTTGATAAAGATAATGTGGTTTAATCCAAGTTTTTCCCCATTGAGACATGCAAAAGCATAAAGTTGGCAACTTTATGGCTTAATGCACTTTAATAAGCCTAGATCTAAAACTGGACGTTGGGTTTTAACTGATTAAGACCTTAGAACGAGGTTTAAGTCAGTCGCAGTGTACACCGGGCGTACAAAATGGTAATAATAACAAAGAGGGGTGGAAAGTATGAATAATGATAACCAAAATCTTGAGTTTAGTGGGCTGTTATGTGTGTAGTGTAACATCCATAAAATTCATGAAAATTTTAAACTTCTAAATCAACCCATAAGTCATCATTGTTTGCAAAATATTTTTCAAAACATGTTCAATATCAGAGTTTTCCCAAAATCATAAACAAAACACGAGGAGGTGCACGATCACGCCTTCGCCTTCCTGAACTATAAGCCCAAAGCTTAGTGAGTTCCCCAAAATACCAAAACACAACAAATAATACATATACAATAACAACATGCAATGGGTCTACAACTAACATATTGGATTACCCCTGAGCCCACAACATAAGTCTGGCTTGCTCTCGGCCCACAGCTTAAGCCTGGTTTGCTCCCCAACCAGATCAGTCCTCGGACTGAATACCGCTAAGCCCTCAGTACGAGTCTGGCATGCCCTTCCCGACCCTCAGCTTGTATCTGGAATGCTCATGAGCCCTAAGTATGAGTCTGACATGCCCTCCCCGACCCTCAGCTCATATCTGGATTGCTCCAGGGTTTGTTGGCTACCACACGGAGCAGTACAACCTCAACCCAACCCACACAAATATGTCAACATATAACAGATAATAACATACACAAATAATCAGACAGTATCACAGGTATTCCTACAGATCTACCAGACTAGCATATCAAAACTAGCATGCCTATCTATTTCATACTTAGCATATCAGCGAATATCATGTTATCAAACCAATGGGCCGGCCTTGGTGCCTTCGACCCGTAAGTACAGTGAGGAAAACTCACATCGCAAACTGAATAGAACAGATGATGTCTGACTCTGAATCTCAACTCTCTACACGATACCTAATTCCATCAAATGATCAATTTCCATAAGAATTCCCAAAATACCCTCAAGGTCAAACTTGGTCAAAGTCGAAGTCAAAGGTCAAGGTCAACAGTCCATGTTTGACCCAACATGTTGTGTTTACTAGTAAGCACGCCATGTTCGGCCAGCATTCAGACGGTCGGGAAAACCTCACCCAACATGTCGTGTTGACTTTTAAACACGTTGTGTTGGCCCGAACTCCAGCAACTTAATACATTCAGCTATTTTCTTCGATTCCAAAAGCTCCAAAGCTCAGATCTAGACCAAAATATCATTAATAAGGATAAAGTTTCCAACTTTATCCACTGGGACTACTCAAAGGGTCTAAAACCCAACCATAAGGCTTGAAGATGCAAGGTTTTAACCCACTAAGCACTTATTCCTTAAAGTCTGAAGCCCATCCTCTCCAGAAGGGATTCTAGCACCAAAACCATCCCAAAGGTCGGTGCTTTATAGACATGCATGTCCAATGCATGTATTGAACCCAAATTGGGTCAAAATGGGGATTTATGATCTAATCTCTATGCAGGCATCAAAACTCGACTATAGGCCAGATCCAAGACTCTATTAGGTCATCTTCACCTGGAGATTCATAAAGTTGCAAACTTTATGAGATCTAACCATTCCAACCTTCAAAAGCAAAAAGCTAAAGGGACAAAACTCAAGATCTAGCAACATGGAAGGAGAAAAATCGGATCTTGGACACTTACAAAGGTCCAAAAGAGTGCCAAACTTAAAGATGAGGGTTTGTTTGCTGGATCTTTTCTTCCTTCTTCCAACTTCTTCCTTCTTTAGCTTCAAAAACACCACACTAGCTCACAAATGAGATGGAAGGATGATTAGGGTTTCCAAGGAACGGCTTGGGGAAATGGAGGCTGAAAAAGGCCAGCTCTTGGGACTTAAGGAGATTATATAGGGTGCAAAACCCTAAAAATTAAGGTTTTCTCAACCAGCCGCCAACACGCAGTGTTTTACACACCAAGTCGTGTTGGTTCATAAAACTACACGGCCCAAGAGTTCCTCAACATGCCGTGGTGGGGCTTCACCACGTCGTGTTCCAAAGGAAAATCATGCATAAATGGAAATAAAGTTTATACCTGGAAATCGGGATGTTACTTGTAGACAGCCCTCGGTGGACTTAATTCAGTAGCAAATTAAATACCGAGAATAACGAGCAGAAGGGCAGCGAAGTCTTGGAATATATGAAAGGCTTTCTTACTAGAATGGATCTTATTTATGTTAAAGGTGTTTGGTGAAATTTTCAATTTGATTTTGTGTATGAAGGTATTGGTCATTATTTCGCTAAAGCCAGATATTAGCCATCATTTCTTATGTTCTATTACAAAAACAAGAATGTCCTCTACTAACTTTTTATTTTAGCAATTATTAATCGAAACAAAAACATATTATCATATCTCCCCCACACCATCCACCCACCCACACAACCACCACCCCTAAACGTATTAAAGATTTTGTGTTTTGATTTTTGTTATTTCCCATAAATACATTATATCACCATCAATTATGCATAAAAATTTAAATTAATCTTGATTTGCATATAACTTAATTAAGTCATGTACTAATATAACCTAGAAAAGAACTTCGCTAAAAGATATAGTGAAATACCCTTGATTTTTCTTGTACGGATCACCACTATCATATTTATCCGTATATGAATGCATTAACTAAATTAATAGGATAAAATTGAACACTTATTTTATGTAAAAGCAAAACATTATAAACCCAAAATTGAAGATAACCAGAAACAAACCACCAAACGTTTGTTCATCATAATATATACACCTTATGCCCAAACAAACTTTAATAAATTTACCATGACTCATACGATTAATTATTAATCAAATATCTTTTTGTCATTGATTTCATCTGGGTGTCACCATGATAGGTAACTTTCTTTTTGTCTTAACCGTTGGAAAATATAGAATTTGATCTTCTTCCGCAACCCAAGTGTAACTCGTGACAAAATGATGAAGGAAAATACTTATTTCTAGCCTTGAGAACTCCAAACCGGGACACAACCGTTGTCCACCACCAAACGGTGTAAACTTGTTGCTATTGACACTCGCTCCCATTTTCTACACATAGTTACCAATATAATGAAAATTCAGTAAACATATACAAATTATTTTACAAAGGGTTATTTTTCTAACAACCCCTAAGCTGACCTACACCACTCTGCACCATGAACATCATGTGAAGAGTAAATTAGGTAGACAGTGGCCCACTAGGTGGTGACTGACTGACATAAGTCTCTTTGGTTCCCATTAGGGGTACAATCCACACTGGAATTAAAACCTCCACATTGTGGCTACTGAGACTTGAACCCTTGACCTGACAAAATGTATATAGATATTATAAACATATAAAGCATCACTTATTTACCTCCCATCTCCATGGATCAAATTCATCGGGGTTTTCATAGTTTTCTTCATCCATATGAACGGAAGTCAATGATGCCAAAACACACCATCCTTTTGGGATCAAATAGCCTTTGATTTCTACGTCTTCAAGAGCTTTTCTC